CGCTGCGGAACGCAGAGAGGGTGTCCTGCTCCGTGCTGGGTGCTGCGGAACGCAGAGAGGGCGTCCTGCTCCGTGCTGGGCGCTGTGGAACGCAGAGAGGGCATCCGGCTCGGTGCTGGGCGCTGCGGAACGCAGAGAGGGTGTCCGGCTCCGTGCTGGCCGCTGCGGAACGCAGAGAGGGTGTCAGGTGTGGCTCGTGCTCTCAAGAGTTTTCGTCCAGCAGGCGAGAAAGAACGTGTCCGTAGAATTTTAAATCCTGTGCTGGGACCATGTGGGAAGTGCTGTGGGGCCCTGGAGGACTTTCAGCAGGCAGAGCCCAGAGTCAGTCCCGGGGGACATTCCCACAGGGCAGTCCTGAGTGAGGACGGAGGGAGGGACTAGCCCTACTCCTGGATTGTGGGGAAGGGGGTCCTGAGGAGTCCTGAGAGGCTGCAGTCAGTCCTCTGTGCTCCGCCTGAGGTCAGTCCTCATCTCTGCTCACACCAGGTCCCCTGGCCCCACGCTGGCTTCTTCTGCCCCCTTCGCTTCAGTGCGACCAGAGTGATGTTAACAATGCTGTGCGTTGGATAGGGTGCCGACATCCACACGTCTCTGCCCAGAACCAAAGTGCCCTGGGAGGTCCACGTGCCTGGCTTCCGGCTTCCTCTCGCCTTAGCCCATGTCCCAGTTCACCCTCCCGAAGCCCCAAAGCTCCACGTCCTGCCCATTTCTCTGCTTTCACCTGCTTTATAGAGGCTGCTCAGTGTCACCTCCACCAGGAAGCTCTCCCTGTTTGCCATTTAGCGCCTAACCCATTGCTACCGAGTCGATTCTGACTCATAGCGATCCTATAGGACAGGGTAGAACTGCCCTACAGGGTTTCCGAGGCTGTAATCTTTATGGAAGCAGATCTCCAGGTCTTTCTCCCATGGAGTGGCTGGTGGGTTCGAACTGCCAACCCTTTCTTTAACTGCCAAGCACTCAACCACTGCACCACCAGCGGTTCCTTTTAGCTCCCATGTTGTTGTTGTTGGGTGCTGTTGAGTTGGTTCCGACTAATAGCGACCCCGTGTACAACAGAACAGAACGTTCCCTGTCTTGTGCCACCTTCATAACCATTGCTGTGCTTGAGCCCATTGTTGCAGCCACTGCGTCAATCCATCTCACTGAGGGTCTTCCTCTTTTTCACCGACCCTCTACTTTACCAAGCATGATGTCCTTCTCCAGGGACTGATCCCTCCTGACAATAAGTCCAAAGTATGTGAGACGAAGTCTTGTCATCGTTGTTTCTAAGGAGCATTCTGGCTGTACTTCTTCCAAGACAAATTTGTCCGTTCTTCTGGAAGTCCATGCGATATTCTATATTCTTCACCAACACTATAATTCAAAGGCATCAATTCTTCTTCGGTCTTTCTTATTTATTGTCCAGCTTTTGCATGCATATGAGACAATTGAAAACACCGTGACTTGGGTCAGGCACACCTTAGTCTTCAAGGTGACATCTTTACTTTTCAACACTTTAAAGAGGTCTTTTGCACCAGATTTGCCCAATGCAACGCATCTTTTGATTTCTTGACTGCTGCTTCCATGGGCATTGATGTGGATCCAAGTAAAATGAAATCCTTGACAACTTCAACCTTTTCTCTGTTTATCATGATGTTGCTTATTGGTCCAGTGGTGAGGATTTTCGTTTTCTTTATGTTGAGTGTAATCCATGCTGAAGGCTGTGGTCTTTGATCTTCGTCAGTAAGTGCTTCAAGTCCTCTTCACCTTCAGCAAGCAAGGTTGTGTCATCTGTATATCACAGGTTGTTATTGAGTCTTCCTCCAATCCTGATGCTGCGTTCTTCTTCATATAGTCCAGCTTCTTGGATTATTTGCTCAGCAAAAAGACTGAATAAGTATGGTGAAAGGATACAACTCTGATGCACACCTTTCCTGATTTTAAACCATGCAGTATCCCCTTAGTTCCCATGGAAACCGAACTAAATCTATTACCGTCAAGTGGATTCCGACCCATAGGGACTCTGTGGGACAGAGCAGACCTACCCCATAGAGTTTCCAGGGAGCAGCTGGTAGATTGAACATGCCAACATTTTGGTTAGCAGCTGAGCTCTTAACCACTGTGCCACCAGAGCTTTGATAAGAGCTCCTGTATTACGGATTGAATTGTGTCCCCCAAAAAGCATATATTGAAATCCTAATCCCAGTACCTGTGAATGTGATGTTGTTTGAAAATAAGGTTTTTGAAGATGTTGTAAGTTAACATGAGGTCATACTGGAGTAGGGTGGGCTGTAATCGGATCTGAGTGGCATCCTTATAAAATAGGAGGAGAGACACAGAGAGGGACACAGAGGAAGGACGGCCTGGGGCTATCGGAAGCTGGGAGAGGCTGAAAGGATCCTCTTTGAGAGCCTTGGAGGGGGCATAGCCCTGCCAACACTTTGATTCGGACTTCTGGCCTTCAGACTGTGAGACAATAAATTTCTGTTCTTATAAATCACCCAGTTTTTGTGTTGTTCTGTTACGGCAGCCTGAGGAAACTCATACACCCTACACGTGGTACGGTCGGGCCATGTTGAGCTATGTCTCCTGAGTCTCTCTTCCACTGTTGCCTGGAGCCATGGACTATTTATTTCTGTATCTCTCCAGGGCAGGCACATAGTAGGTGCTCAAATGAGTACTTGCTAAATAAGACAAAGCCAAAACCTTGAGCATAGGGGGATTCCAGCACAGAATACGGATCCCCTTGCCTCTGGGGAAGGACGCTCATGGGAAGGAATTGTGTATTCGTGCATGGAAATTGGCAAGGAGAAACTAGTCATGCGCCCTTCAGGGACCTGGCCTCATGATTTCTTTAGGATTATTTATCTTCAAGATTCCTTGGAAGTGCATCATGCCTACTCACCAAAATGTGCCTTTGGGTAATCTGAACCCTTGCATTTTAAGGTTGCCGTCAGTGGCTTGATTATGGTGTTGGTGAAGAGTATTGAATGTATCACGGACTGCCAGAAGAACTAACAACTCTGTCTTGGAGAAAGTATAGCCAGTATGCTCTGTAGAAGCCAGCATGGCAACACTTCATCTCACTTACTTTGGACATGTTATCAGGAGGGACCAGTCCCTGGAGAAGGTCATCATGCTTGGTAAAGTAGAGGGTCATTGAAAAAGAGGGAGACCCTCAACGAGATGGACAGACGCAGTGGCTGCAACAATGGGCTCAAACATAGCAACGATTGTGAGGATGGCGCAGGACCAGGCACACCCCCTCAGCTGTGATAGATGGATAGATGCATAGATAGATAGATAGACAGACAGATAGGTAGCTGCTTTTGAGTTGACCCTGACTCATGGTGACCTTATGCACAACAGAAGGAAACTTTGCCCTGTCCTGCGTCATCCTCATGATCCCCAGCACGTTCAAGTCCGTCATTGCACCTACTGTGTCAGTCCATCTCACCGAGGGTCTCCCTTGCCCTCGCTGACCCTCTACTTCACCAAACACAATGTCCTCCTCTAGCAATTGAGCTCTCCTGATTATGTGTCCAAAGCAAGAGAGTCAACAGACAGTGCTGTGTTGTGATCGATAAGATTTTCATTGACTAATTTTTGGAAGTTTGATCGCCAGACCTTTCTTCCTAATCTGTCTTAATCTGGAAGCTCTGCTGAAGCCTGTCCACAGTGGGTGATGCTGCTGGTATTTGAAATATCAGTGGCATAGCAACATCATAGCAACCTGCAAGCCACCACAGTATGACAAAGTGGCAGATGGGTGATGGCCAGTGGCAATAAGGGGATGGTCAATAGGAGCCCTGGTGGTGCAGTGGTTAAGCACTCAGCTGACAACCGAAAGGTTGGCGGTTCGAACCCACCGGCTGCTCCGAGGGAGAAAGATGTGGCAGTCTGCTTCTGTAAAGGTTTACAGCCTTGGGAACCCTATGGGGCAGTTGTACTCTGTCCTATAGGGTCTCTATGAGTCGGAATCTAATTGACTCCACGACAATGAGTCATGTGCAAGTAAAGATGACGTATTGCTGCCGACCTTGTGCAAACATTTAACAAGCCACATAAGCACCTCTCATGTGTACTTACAGTGGGACAGAATACATCACAACAAGGCTTGCATTTTTACAAACTGCCCTCTAGCTGGGCCATGAGGGGCTCCAACTCTGGTGGACTCTGTCATCCTATGTGGCTGGTTGTGACACTGTGTCGAGTGACCTAATGGCTGTCTCTCTCTCTTCTCATTTGCAGGATGATGATGGGCAGGTTCGGTGAGTATCCTGGGCTTGGGAGAATGTGGGGTTCCCCAGCGAGCTGGGGCTGTCCTGGGAAGCTGCCGGGACTCACGCTGCCATGCTGGGGAGCAGGACCCTGGGCGGGTTTTGCTGACTCCCACAGTTCTGGAATCTTAGATCCTGCGTGCAGTTTCCCTGTGAGCCATGTAGGACTGACTGGGGTTGTTTCTCCGAGCCAGGAAAGGCTGAGTGGAGATGAGAATTAAAGGGGGATGGTCAGCACTTCAAAATGGACAAGAGTCTCGGCGATTCTCCCCGTGGGTTATGGGGACTGAGGCAGGGACTGACTAGGATAAAAGGGAGGGAGGATATGGCTGCTAGCCAAAGAGTCTGCAGTTCGAACCCACCAGCAGCTTTGCAGGAGAAGAGACCTGGCTGTCTGCTCCTGTGACGATTACAGCCTAAGAATCCCTATGGGGGCAGTTCTACTCTGTCACATGGGGGCACTATGAGTCAGAATCAACTCAACGGCATCCAACAACAACAGTTGTAAGTGGAGTGACCACACCCTCTTTCACCGTTAAAGCTGATGTTTCCCATCTTCATCTCAGCGAAGGACAGCTGACGGGGACAGTCAGCTTGTAGCAGCATTTACACCGCAGACATGGGCACCCTCGGCTTCCCGCCGCAGCCAGAGCAGGCGCCGTGCGGTTTGCGGGCCATGCTTTGGAGAATGTTTCAAATCAGAAAGCAAGTACTTGACCCCAAATGCCTTGCGTAGGGGACAGAAGAACGCTCTTGAAAGGAAATGTGGGAACCCAGAAGCAGCTTTCTTGCCTGCTTTGAGGGGATGGCACCTCTGGGTGCTTGGGCGCTGTTGGGTCCTGGGCTGTCAGTCATTATGAGACCCTCTCGCACATTCCTGTTGTTTTTGTATGAACAGTGGATGTGGCTCTTATATTATTAAAGATCTTGAACAAGAGGCAACGAGGTAATTATATGTCCTTAAGCTTTCTTAAGTAGACCCTAAGCTGTGGTGGGAAAATTCACAGCCTTTCACATTTTTTAAAGGAGCAGTTCAGTTCTTTCTAATGTCTTTATTATTAAAATAACACACACACACAAAAAGGAAATAAGAAAACCTCCCCTGTGCAGTAACTGAGAGGCAGGGCAGCAGTGAGGAGGGGGGCGCGTGGCTGGGAGTGGGACCCCAAAGCCGGGGGCCTGTTTCCCCAGAAGCTTGTGGAATTGTTCCCGTTAACTTCACAGGCACACGGCGTGCTTATGAAACGTGAACGGGCCATTAGTCAGCGACAGGCAATCAGTTCCGCCCCCGCGTTGCTGCCTCTGCTGACGCAGCTCCTGCCTCCTCGTCCCCCAGACGCGACCTCACACGCGTCTCACGTGGAGCAGGCCTGTCTCGTCCTGTGTCCTGACGCGCCACTCACACCCTCCAGTCCCCTACAGGTCACCACCCTGCCCAAGTGTGACTCGTCACCTCTCCCCAGCTCGTTCCTCCAGGGGTGCTGGTCTCAGGCTTGCCCTTCCAGAAGGTTCCTCTGCACCATTGTCAGATTCCTAAAAACCAAAGAACCGAATCCATTGCTGTCGAGTGGATTCTGATTCACAGCGACCCTATAGGACGGGGTAGAATTGCCCCATAGAGTTTCCAAGGAGCGGCTGGTGGATTCGAACTGCCGACCTTTGGGTTAGTAGCCATAGCTCTTAACCACTGCCCCACCAGATTCCTAAAATGCCCCTTATCCCATCATTCCACCCACCCCTAGCCCCTTGGCTTGTGCTAAGGCCACTGAGGCCCTCCCTGACCATCACTCTGGGCACACACACCCCCTTTCTGGCTGCCGCCCCCTGCTTGCCTGGCTCCAGCCTTGTGGCTCCCTCACTGTTCCAAGAGCACTCCCGGAAGCACCCACTTGCAGCCTTTGTGCTTGCAGTACCCTCTGCTTGAAATGCTCTCCCTCTAGATTACCCCATGGCTCACACCTGCTACTCCTCAAACGTCACTTCTTAGTGAGGACCACCCTGCCCCAATTACATTCTCTGGCCCTCCCTGCCCCCTTGCTGCCTTGTTTGTTTTTTAAATTGCTCTCTCTCTGCTGACGGGGAGCACTGCTTTCCTCTCTGTCAGCATTTACGCACGTAAGCTTCTGCCACCAGCCTGACATCCACGGCTGGTGCCAGCACAATTTGGGGGCCCCCAAGGCCCTTCCCCTGTTCCCGCCTCATGTGGCTCCTTGGGTTGTAAGCATCCTGTGGCCGGAGCCCTCTCCTCCCCATCCGCCAGCCCTGGGCCTGAGGCACACAGTAGGTACATAGCAAATGCAAGCTGCTCCAGAAGCTTCCAGAGCACCAAGCTGACCCTCCTTGGCCAAAGGCTTCTCCTGGGCTGGTGTTCTGGACTTCAGTTTCCCACCTGAGAGTTCTGAGCTATGGAGGGGGCGGGGGTTCCACTCTGCCTGCCCTCCCTCCCCGCCCCATCACTCCAGTGGGTGAGTGGGCTCAGGCGAAGGTCCCGCCTACTGATAGCATCATTGCCTGGCTGAGGTGGGGGAGAGGAGGCGTCTCTCCCACGGAAACTTGTCTCAAGGGAGCTGGGGAGGTTGCAGCCTGGTCTCCATGGCAACGGGCTGGGTGGTATCGCTTCCCTTTCTCTGCAGGCGGCCACCCCCTCCCCAGGCTCCCGCTGGCCCAGAGCCCTTCCTGAGGCCATGGCAGGACACGGGGTGGTGGGGGGTCATGCTCTCCTCTTTCCCTCGTCACCTCCTTATACCCTGCTAAGGGTCCCGTCACATCCTCCCTCCTTTCTGCCAACACGGCTCATTGTAGAAAACTCTAGCCTGATCTCACCACGGGCTTACGGCCTCTGTGACACCCCACCCTGCAAGACACAGCCCCTCTTAACCCGAGACAGACCACACCACAGACCCCCGTCCCTTGAACCTTCTCTGGTCTTTCTCCTGCCTCTCTCTTTGGGCTTTCTGTTCCCCCTGCCTGGAACACCCTTCCTCCTCCTCCCGCCCCAGCTCAAACTTCAAGGCTCCTTTGTGGAAACTTCCTCAGTCCCCTGGCCGGCCATTTGTTCATGGGCCCCAAACTCAGGTGCCTCTCAGGTCCAGGCAGGAAACACAAGAGGGAAGTGGACAGGATATAACATGCTAAGTGCCCCAGTGTTGGTTGGCAGTGGGGAGTGGTGGGGTCTGGGGCAAACTGGAAAGATCTGACCCCCAATAAAACTGATGCCCAGTGGGGAGGTAGGCTCTCTGTTGCCACTTGCTGGTGGTACCACCGTCTGCCTCCCCCAGAACGTGAGTCCTCCCAGGGATGGGGCTGCTCTTTGGTCATCTCTGTGACTGTCCCCAGAGCGGAGGAGGGAAGTCAGGAGCAGGAGCAGGCGGGGGGAGCGTGGTGTGTGCCTGCCAGGGGCGGCTCGTCTCTTTCGTTCACTGTCTCATTTCATTCCTCCTCCAGCAGGTGAAGTATTACTGGTCTTATTCCCACTGTGTTGTTGGGTGCTGTCACGTCCATTCTGACTCATGGTGACCCCATGTGTGCAGAGTAGAACTGCTCCACAGGGTGTTCAAGGCTGGGACCTTTTTTTTTTTTTTTTAATTATACTTTAGATGAAGATTTATGGAACAAATAGTTTCTCATTAAACAGTTAGTACACATAGTATCTTATGGTTAACAACCCCGCGACATGTCAATTCTGTCCCTTCTCAACCTTGGGTTCCCTATTACCAGCTTTCCCATTCCCTCCTCCCTCTAGTCCTTGTCCCTGGGCTGGTGTGCCCCTTTAGTCTCGTTTTGGTTTATGGAGCTGTCTAATCTTTGGCTGAAGGGTGAACCTTGGGAGTGACTTCATCCTAAAAGGGTGTCCGGGGGCCATACTCTTGGGGTTTCTCCAGTCTCTGTCAGACCAGTAAGTCTGGTCTTTTTTTTGAGTTAGAATTTTGTTCTACATTTTTCTCCAGCTGTGTCCCGGACCCTCTGTTGTGATCCCGGTCAGAGCAGTCAGTGCTGGTAGCCGGGCACCATCTAGTTGTACTGGACTCAGTCTGGGGGAGGCCGTGGTAGATGTGGTCCATTAGTCCTTTGGACTAACTTTTTCCTTGTATCTTGTTCTCTTCATTCTCCCTTGCTCCCGAAGGGGTGAGACCAGTGGAGTATCTTAGATGGCCGCTCACAGGTTTTTAAGACCCCAGATGCTAGTCACCAAGGTAGAATGTAGAACGTTTTCTTTATAAAGTATGTTATGCCAGTTGAGCTAGATGTTCCCCAAGACCATGGTCCCCACAAGGGCTGGGACTTTTGGAAGCAAATCGCCAGGCCTGTCTTCTGAGGTACCTCTGGGTGGGTTCAAACCACCAACCTTTCAGCTAGTAGTCGAGTGCTTAATCATTTGCGCCACCCAGAGGCTCCTGTTTCCACTTCACAGAGGAGGAGAAGGTTTCAGAACTTTTATTGGGCAGCTGGGATTTGAACCCCGACCTGTTTCCATTCCCAAGACTGAGGTGTGCTTGCCAGGTCTGTGGCCTGGTGTCCCCGCAGCCCCTCCCGGCAGTGACGGGCTTAGTCCCCAGGGTGCAGGTGAGCGCGGCCGTGCGGGGGGAGCCGCGGGCACAGGTCTCCCAGGCCACGCTACCTCCCACGGTCGCCTCTGTGAGCCCAGCGGTGGCCCAGCTAAATATACCCACTGACGCAGACGCTGCTCCACGCGGGGGTTTTCTTAAGCTGCAGTTAAAGTTCCTATTGCTTTGTAAAGATTTAGCCGGGATTTTTTTTTTTTTTTTCCTAAGCAGATTGTCTCAATGAGTATAATCTGACTTAAATGATTATAAAAATAATTTACAGCTGCTGCCTTAGAAAGATGGGTATGTGTCGGGAGGATATTCTGCTGGGCTGGGCCTTTAGTGAAGGAAGCTGGTGCCCACTCCCCCAGACACACACGGACACACACACACCACGCATACACACTCCATATATACATACACACCACACATACGCCATATATACAC